TTGGGGCCCATGAGAAGGTTTCACCGTCTTTTAAAAAATAAAAGTCAATTGGGACCATTGAGAAGGTTTCACATTCTTAAAGAAAAACAGTTGGGGGCCCCGAGAAGTTTTCTTATTCTTGAAAAAACAGTTGGAAACCCCGAGAAGATTTCACCTTTACAAAAAGGCAGTTGGGATCCTTGAGAAGGTTTCAAATTCTTAAAAGGGGGCAGATGGAACCTCTCAGAAGGTTTCACATTCTTTAAAAAAAAACACTTGAAGACCCCAAGAAATTGTCACATCTAAAAATAAGATAGTTGGGACCTCCAAGAAGGTTTCATCTTTAAAAAAAGGCGGTTGTTATCCTTGAGAAAGTTTCACATTCATAAAAAAGACACTTGGGCCCCTCGATAAGTTTTCGCATTTTTAAAGTAGATGGAAATCCCTCGAGAAGGTTGCACCTTAAAAAAAAGGCAGTTGGACGCCTGAGAAGGCTTCGCATTCTTAAAAAAAGACATTTGGGGCCCCCGAGAAGGTTTCACATTCTTAAAAAACCAGTTGAAGACCCCAAGAAATTATCACCTCTAAAAATAAAGTATTTAGGAGAGCCAATTGGGCCCCCGTGAAGGTTTCACATTCTTAAAAAAAAGTTGGATACTCCCAGATAGTTTTACTTTTAAAAAAGTTAGTTGGGACTCTTGAGAAGGTTTCACATTCTTAAAAAAGGCAGTTGGGACCCCCGAGAAGGTTTCACATTCTTAAAAAACCAGTTGAAAACCCCAAGAAACTGTCACCTCTAAAATTAAGGTAATTGGGACCCCCGAGAATGTTTCATCTTAAAAAAAAACAGTTGGAGAGACCAAGGTTTCACTTTTACCAAAAAGACAGACAGTTAGGATCCCTGAGAAGGCTTCAAATTCTTAAAAAGAGACAGTTGGTACCCCTGAGAATGTTTCACATTCTTAAAAAAACATATGAAGCCCCTAAGAAATTGTCACCTGTAAAAATAAGGTAGTTGGGACCTCCGAGAAGGTTTCACCTTTGTTAAACAAGGCAGTTGGGAGCCCTGAGAAGGTTTTGCATTCATAAAAAAGACGTTCCCCCCTCCTCTAAGAAGGTTTCACCTAAAAAAAGGCAGGTGGGATCCGTGAGAAGGTTTCACCTTTACAAAAGGGCAGTTGGGACTCCAAGAAAGTTTCACATTCTTAAATAAAAAAAGTTGGCGCCCCGAGAAGATTTCGCGTTCTTAAAATAAGGCATTTGGAGCCCCCGAGAAAGTTTCACCCTCTTAAAAAAAAGACGGTTGGAACCGCTGAGAAGGTTTCACATTTGTAAAAAAAGACACTTGGGGCATATGAGAAGGTTTCACCTTTTTTTAAAAAAATAATAGGCAATTGAGACCATTGAGAAGGTTTCACCTTTTTAAAGAAAGACAGTTGGGGCCGCCGAAAAGTTTCCTATTCTTGAAAAAACAATTGGAAACCCCGAGAAGATTTCACCTTTACAAAAAGGCATTTGGGACCCTTGAGAAGGTTTCAAATTCTTAAAAAGGGGCAGTTGGGACCTCTGAGAAGGTTTCACATTCTTAAAAAAACGCTTGAAGACCCCAAGAAATTGTCACCTTCTAAAAAATAAGGGAGTTGGGACCTCCAAGAAGGTTTCATCTTTAAAAAAAGGCGGTTGTTATCCTTGAGAAGGTTTCACAATCATAAGAAAGACACTTGGGCCCCTCGATAAGGTTTCACATTCTTAAAAATAGTTGGAGTTCCCTCGAGGTTGCACCTTAAAAAAACGGTAGTTGGGACCTCTGAGAAGGTTTCGCATTCTTAAAAAAAGACAGTTGGGGTCCCCGAGAAGGTTTCACATTCTTAAAAAACTAGTTGTAGACCCCAAGAAATTATCACCTCTAAAAATAAAGTAGTTACGACCTCCGAGAAGTTTTCACCTTTTAAAAAAAAAAGGCAGTTGGGGCCTCGAGAAGGTTTTACTTAAAAAAAAAGGCCGTTGGGATTCCTGAGAAGGTTTTACATTAATAAAAAAATTAAAAGTTACTTGGGCACCCTGAGGAGGTTTCACATTCTTAAAAACCGTGGGAAACTCCCCGAGAAGGTTACACATTCTTAAAGAACCAGTTCAAGACCCCCAAGAGATTGTCGCCTCGAAAAATAAGGTAGTTAGGACTTCCGACAAGGTTTCACCTTCTTTAAAAAAAGGCAATTTCGATCCCTGTGAAGGTTTTACATTCATAAAAAAGACACTTGGGCCCCCAAGTAGGTTTCACATTCTTAAAAACAGTTGGAAACCCCCCCGAGAAGGTTTCATCTTAAAAAAAGGCAGTTGAGACCACTGAGAAGGTTTCACATTCTTAAAAAAAAACAATTGGAGACCCCGAGAAGGTTTCACCTTTACAAAAGAGTTTTTGAGAACATGAGGTTTCACCTTCTTAAAAAGAGGCAGTTGAGGCCCTCGAGAAGGTTTCACCTTTACAAAAAGGCAGTTGGGGCTCCCTAAGGTTTCACATTCTTAAAAAAAGTTGGCGCCCCGAGAAGATTTTGCGTTCTTAAAATAAGGCTTTTGGAGCCCCCGGGAAGGTTTCACCCTCTTAAAAAAAAGACGGTTAGGTTCCCTGAGAAGGTTTCACATTTGTAAAAAAAGACACTTGGGACCCATGAGAATGTTTCACCTTCTTAAAGAAAGACAGTTGGGGTCGCCGAGGTTTCCTATTCTTGAAAAAACAATTGGGGACCCCGAGAAGATTTCACCTTTACAAAAAGGCGTTTGGGACCCTTGAGAAGGTTTCAAATTCTTAAAAGGGGGCAGTTGGGACCTCTGAGAAGGCTTCACATTCTTAAAAAAGCAGTTGAAGATCTCAAGAAATTGTCACCTTCTAAAAATAAGGTAGTCGGGACCTCCAAGAAGGTTTCATCTTTAAAAAAAGGCGGTTATTATCCTTGAGAAGGTTTCATATTCATAAAAAAGACACTTGGGGCCCTCGAGAAGGTTTCAAATTCTTAAAAAAAGACAGTTGAGACCCCCGACAAGGTTTTGCAATTTTAAAAATGACAGGATTTCGAGAAGGCTTCACATTAAAAAAGAAGCCATTTGGGGCCCCCGAGAAGGTTTCACATTCTTAAAAATAGTAGGAAATCTCTCGAGAAGGTTGCACCTTAAAAAAACGGTAGTTGGGACCTCTGAGAAGGCTTCGCATTCTTAAAAAAGGACAGTTGGGCCCCCGAGAAGGTTTCACATTCTTTAAAAACTAGTTGAAGACCCCAAGAAATAATTATCACCTCTAAAAATAAGGTAGTTAGGACCTCCAAGAAGGTTTCATTTTTAAAAAACGGCCGTTGGGATCCTATCTGAAGAGGTTTTACATTAATAAAAAAGTCACTTGGGCACCCCGAGAAGGTTTCACATTTTTAAAAAAGCCAGTTGGGACCCCCGAGAAGGTTTCACCTTATTAAAAGTCAGTTGGGACCCCAAGAAGATTTCACATTCTTAAAAAACCAGTTCAAGACCCCCAAGAGATTGTCACCTCGAAAAATAAGGTAGTTACGACTTCCGACAAGGTTTCATTTTCTTTTAAAAAAGGCAATTGGGATCCCTGAGTAGGTTCATTCATAAAAAAGACACTTGGGCTCCCATTCTTAAAAACTGAAACTGTAACCTCTTAAAATAAGGTAGTTGGGATCCCCGGGAAGATTTCACCTTAATTAATTTTTTTTTTTTTTTAATTTAAAAATAGTTGCAACCCCCGAGAGGGTGACAGTTGGGGGCCCTGAAAAGGTTTCACCTTTTAAAGTGAGTTATTTCGACAGGAATTCCTTCGTCCTTTAAGTATAATCCAACAAATGTCGCTTCTTTAAAATATTATTAAATTGCAATGCGTTACAGTTTTCGTTATGTAGCGTCATAATGAACACCCTAAGGTCCACACAAATGCAAACAATAACAAATGTATTTAAAGCAGATAACCAACGGAAAAAATTTAGATATTCTCAATTTCTCAGTACATGTTTAACTTCGTCTGGTTATGTTTATACTTTCACAGCATTCGGTTTTTGCAATTTCATAGTTAAATTGTAAAATATTTTCATAAATTTTTTTTTTCCTAAAGATCTGGATGCGGATTCATAAATGGAACATTTATTAAGGAAAAATTGTCATCATTTTTTAAGGCAAATAAACGAAAAAATTTTGACTAACGATTTAGCATGCTTACAATAACCTTTTGATTTTTTTCCAAAAATCAGAATGTCTACGCCCATTTCAAATGTGATGAATTTTTCATTCGTTATCAGACACAAGGGCGGAGTTTAATTGGAAAATCCATATTTCCCTACAAAAATTTATCATTTAAACATATTTAAACTTCTTGTTCTACAAAAAAGACTACGTATCTTACAGAAAAAGGACAAAATATAAGCCCCGCCCACCCACCCTATCTCAATTCAAAAGACTTTTTCCATTCGTTTTTAGATCGACGGGCGGAGTTTAATTTCAAAATCCTGATTTCTTTACAAGAAATTGTCATGTGAAACAAGTTTTTCAAAGAAAACTAAGTACATATATTAGTACCTCATACCATATAACAAACTGTGGTAAATATAATGTGCTATTGAAATTTTCGTTTTGTGAGTACCTCTGAGAAGTAAAAACTAGTGGTATAATTAACACCCCAAGGTCCACCCAAATGTGGACAATATGAAATATATTTAAAGCAGATAACCAACGGGAAAAATGTAGATATTCTCAGTTTCTCAGTACATGTTTAACTCCGTCTGTTTATGTTGATTCTTTCACAGCATTCGGTATTTGCAAATACAAAGTTAAATATTGAAATGATAACAAAATTTTGATTTTTTCCCAAAAATTTTAAATTTCTGCGTGTATTACGAAAAAAAGGCAAAATCTCAGTTGTGATGACTTGATCGAGTTGGCGTTGACCGGAAAACAGATCGCTTCGCTCGATGCCTTCTTTGTAAGTCGGGCACCAGTTTTCACTGTTTTGTTTGTTGCAGGACCACCAGGCCCCCCCGGCCCCCCGGGCCCCCCTGGAAAGCGCGGCCGAAAAGGGAAAAAGGGCGACGCCGGCGACCCAGGCCCACCGGTAAGTCGCCTCGCATTTACTAGCACGTCTGAAGCGACTCTGCACACCACACTAACGATAATTCTGATTTTGTTCTTTTTTATTTGCCCTTAGGGTTCCGCTGGGGCGCCGGGCAAGAACGGCTTTCCGGTATTATATTTTATTTAATAACATTTTTTTAATTTTTTATCACATCGATCATGTAACTAATATTAATTGGTGTATTCATCTCCATCGTTTTTGATTGTGTTTGATGTGTGTCCGAGGGGGCACGGGGGGTCGAGCGATGTTGCTGTATAACGCACGGTTTTACAACCGTCGAGTTTATTTAGCAAAGTTTATATTAAAACAAACAGGATTTATGGGTCGTTAAAGTTGCAAGGAGGAAGAGTCGTTACTGGGTTGTGTGTTGAGGTTTGGCATGGATATTTCTGGACGAAATTGGGGCAGATGGCGCCACTCCATTTCGTTACGCAATTCAAGTATAGGTGGCGCCACATAAAACACAAATTTTAATTAAGCGCTGTCGCTCGACCTCCCCTTTCTCCCTCACCCCCAAGCAACATCTTGTATTCTGCATACTTGGACTTTCCAGGGTGACAAGGGTCAGAAAGGCGATATGGGCTACATGGTAAGATATATGGTCGTTAAGTGTAGTTTGAACAACTTCCAACACGAAACCATTAACACTTAAAGTTGATTTAACCCGCCCGGTTGCCTAATGATACTGACCTGTCACCGTTAACAACCCCAATAATGTAACGCATACATTAGCATGTGTTTTCACCCTGGTCTACCCTGTCCAGACTCGAATCGAAACGGACGTAGTTGGCTCTGATTGGCAAAACGTTCAATAGTTGGCCGTTGCGTCAAATTAAGCGCGTGTCGTAGCATGGGCGTGTTTAGGGTGTAATATCACTCTTACTTCCCTTCTTCTACTTTCTACTCCGTCCGGAGATTCTTCATTACTTTTTTGTTCGTAGTGGCCGCAACCTGCCGGATCGTGCATGTAAGATTCATGATCTTGTGTATTTTTTTGTAAAATTTCGAAAACCGAACGGAACGCAACATCGCCCCAGCAAGTCATGAAACGTCAAAATTGTAACAGTATTTTAAGGTCATTCTTAGTTTTAATTTCGCTTTTCTTCCTTTTTTCTACTCTTTGTTTCTTCTGCGGAAAACCGCCCTAAGTACGCCCATGCGACCGCCGGCCCGTCTCGACCCGCATCACGCAAATCCAGACAGTACTCGTAACAATCTGTTGCAGGGTCCGACAGGGGTGCGCGGATTTCCGGGATTTCCGGTTTGTTTTATTATTTTTATTTTTAGTGTGGCGGCCCTGCCGCCGACTAACACGTGACTTTAACTCTTTGACTAACGGGTGGTGGGGGCGGTGGGTGGAGCCCTCTCGGTATTTATTTGCGTATTTGTTTTATCCGGGCGAAAATAAACGCGCGGAGTAATAATAATTCGCGCGTAAAATCGATGACGGGAGTTTTGTTGTTCGTGCTTTTGTCCGACAGGTTTTCCCCTTGTAACTCGGCCACTTTGTGCCACTTCTCGTTCGAATTATGAAAAACGAGGTGGCGAAGTTTTTCAATAACGCCGTCGCTGGAAAAAACAAATAAGAGTGCGTCGTAAGGGGAGAAATGGCGGTCATCTGGGCGTTTTTTTAATGCGGGGGCAGTTGATGGAAAAAGTCACTTAGAGGGATGAGAAATGCGGACGAATTCGGGTTGGGGAGTTGGGGTGGAATTAATACGCAGGACAATGAAATGGATGGGTTTGAGGAAGAATTTGTGGGACAAATTTTTTGACCGGGAATACTGTGGTTTATGAAAGTACCGGAGTAGTATGGATCAATTTTTGGAATTTTCAGTTTTTTTTAATTTCCCTTTTGTTTAATTTTACGATGTTGTAATTTTTCGATTTTTCAATTTCTCAAATTTCAAGTCGAAAAATTGTCGAAATAAAAAATTGGAAAGCCGACAATAAAAAAAAATGAAAATTAAATCATGAGAGCCAAAATTCGAAAAAACGCAAAATCTATAATTTGAAAAATTTTAAAACTCAAAAAATTACGAATCAAAAAACCATATATTCGAAAATTGCGAAATAAAAATCGAAAAGATCAGAAGATTGAACATTTAAGAAAACTCCAAGGATTTGAAAATTGGAGAAATGAACAATTAATGTATCAAAAAACTCAAAAATTAAGAACTCGAAAAACTGAAACAAAAAAATCGAAAAGTTCAACGTCTAAAAATATCGTAATACCGAGGAAACCGAAAGTTAAAAAAAAAATAAATCAAAATGTTCACACACTTGAAATTCAAAAATGGAAAAATTGCAATGAAAAAAAACTGAAGAAATGAAAAACTGAAAAATCGCCGGACTCCAAAATGGAAAAGAAGGAGCGAAAAATACGAAGTTGAAAAATTGACCAAATCAAAAATTTAAAATAAAAAAATTTGAAATTTGAAAAATTAAATATTCAAAATTGAAAACTAGAAAATCTGTCAAATCGTAAAATTGAAGAAACTGAGAGATCAAAAAATCAACAAATCCAAAATTGAAACTTGAAAAATCGAAAAAGTGAAGAAACAAAAATCTAGAATTTCAAAAAATGTATGATTTAAAAATTGGAGAAAGGAAGAGTTAATGAATCGAAAAACTGGAAAAATGATTAACTGAAAAATTGAAGAAAAACTGGAAGATCGAAAAATTGAAAATTACTAACTTTGAAGTAATGAAAAATTTAAAAATCAATAAATTCAAAATTTGAAAAAAAAATTGGACTTGAAAATTAGAAAAATGCAGTTGTTATTTTTCGATTTTTCAATTTCTCAAATTTTTGTCAGTTTTTTTAACTTTTATACTCAATTTTCGAAGCTGCAAGTCGAAAAATTGTCGAAATAAAAAATTGGAAAGCCGAAAATAAAAAAAAAATGAAAATTAAAAAATCATGATAGCCAAAATTCGAAAAAACGCGAAATCTATAATTTGAAAAATTTTAAAACTCAAAAAATTACAAATCAAAAAACCATATATTCGAAAATTGCGAAATAAAAATCGAAAAGATCAGAAAATTGAACATTTAAGAAAACTATAAGGATTTAAAAATTGGAGAAATGAACAATTAATGTATCAAAAAATTCAAAAATTAAGAACTCGAAAAACTGAAACAAAAAAATCGAAAAGTTCAACGTCTAAAAATTGCGAAATCGTAAAACCGAGGAAACCGAAAGTTAAAAAAAAAATTAATCAAAATGTTCACACACTTGAAATTCAAAAATGGAAAAATTGCAATGAAAAAAACTAAAGAAATGAAAAACTGAAAATCGCCGGACTCCAAAATGGAAAAGAAGCAGCGAAAAATACAAAGTTGAAAAATCGACCAAATCAAAAATTAAAAATGAAAAAAATTTGAAATTTAAAAAATTAAATATTCAAAATTGAAAACTAAAAAATCTGTCAAATCGCAAAAGTGAAAAAACTGAGAGATCAAAAAATCAACAAATCTAAAATTGAAACTTGAAAAATCGAAAAAGTGAAGAAACAAAAATCTAGAATTTCAAAAAATGTATGATTTAAAAATTGGAGAAACGAAGAGTTAATGAATCGAAAAACTGGAAACATGACAAACTGAAAAATTGAAGAAAAACTAGAAGATCGAAAAATTTAAAATTACTAACTTTGAAGTAATGAAAAATTTAAAAATCAATGAATTCAAAATTTGAAAAAAAAATTGGACTTGAAAATTAGAAAAATGCAATTGTTGTAATTTTTCGATTTTTCAATTTCTCAATTTTTTTTCAGTTTTTTTAACTTTTATACTCAATTTTCGAAGCTGCAAGTCGAAAAAGTGTCGAAATAAAAAATTGGAAAGCCGAAAATAAAAAAAATGAAAATTAAAAAATCATGATAGCCAAAATTCGAAAAAACGCGAAATCTATAATTTGAAAAATTTTAAAACTCAAAAAATTACAAATCAAAAAACCATATATTCGAAAATTGCGAAATAAAAATCGAAAAGATCAGAAAATTGAACATTTAAGAAAACTATAAGGATTTAAAAATTGGAGAAATGAACAATTAATGTATCAAAAAATTCAAAAATTAAGAACTCGAAAAACTGAAACAAAAAAATCGAAAAGTTCAACGTCTAAAAATTGCGAAATCGTAAAACCGAGGAAACCGAAAGTTAAAAAAAAAATTAATCAAAATGTTCACACACTTGAAATTCAAAAATGGAAAAATTGCAATGAAAAAAACTAAAGAAATGAAAAACTGAAAATCGCCGGACTCCAAAATGGAAAAGAAGCAGCGAAAAATACAAAGTTGAAAAATCGACCAAATCAAAAATTAAAAATGAAAAAAATTTGAAATTTAAAAAATTAAATATTCAAAATTGAAAACTAAAAAATCTGTCAAATCGCAAAAGTGAAAAAACTGAGAGATCAAAAAATCAACAAATCTAAAATTGAAACTTGAAAAATCGAAAAAGTGAAGAAACAAAAATCTAGAATTTCAAAAAATGTATGATTTAAAAATTGGAGAAACGAAGAGTTAATGAATCGAAAAACTGGAAACATGACAAACTGAAAAATTGAAGAAAAACTAGAAGATCGAAAAATTTAAAATTACTAACTTTGAAGTAATGAAAAATTTAAAAATCAATGAATTCAAAATTTGAAAAAAAAATTGGACTTGAAAATTAGAAAAATGCAATTGTTGTAATTTTTCGATTTTTCAATTTCTCAATTTTTTTTCAGTTTTTTTAACTTTTATACTCAATTTTCGAAGCTGCAAGTCGAAAAAGTGTCGAAATAAAAAATTGGAAAGCCGAAAATAAAAAAAATGAAAATTAAAAAATCATGATAGCCAAAATTCGAAAAAACGCGAAATCTATAATTTGAAAAATTTTAAAACTCAAAAAATTACAAATCGAAAAACCATATATTCGAAAATTGCGAAATAAAAATCGAAAAGATCAGAAAATTGAACATTTAAGAAAACTATAAGGATTTAAAAATTGGAGAAATGAACAATTAATGTATCAAAAAATTCAAAAATTAAGAACTCGAAAAACTGAAACAAAAAAATCGAAAAGTTCAGCGTCTAAAAATTGCGAAATCGTAAAACCGAGGAAACCGAAAGTTAAAAAAAAATAATCAAAATGTTCACACACTTGAAATTCAAAAATGGAAAAATTGCAATGAAAAAAACTAAAGAAATGAAAAACTGAAAAATCGCCGGACTCCAAAATGGAAAAGAAGCAGCGAAAAATACAAAGTTGAAAAATCGACCAAATCAAAAATTAAAAATGAAAAAAATTTGAAATTTAAAAAATTAAATATTCAAAATTGAAAACTAAAAAATCTGTCAAATCGCAAAAGTGAAAAAACTGAGAGATCAAAAAATCAACAAATCTAAAATTGAAACTTGAAAAATCGAAAAAGTGAAGAAACAAAAATCTAGAATTTCAAAAAATGTATTATTTAAAAATTAGAGAAACGAAGAGTTAATGAATCGAAAAACTGGAAAAATGACAAACTGAAAAATTGAAGAAAAACTGGAAGATCGAAAAATTGAAAATTACTAACTTTGAAGTAATGAAAAATTTAAAAATCAATAAATTCAAAATTTGAAAAAAAAATTGGACTTGAAAATTAGAAAAATGCAGTTGTTGTAATTTTTCGATTTTTCAATTTCTCAAATTTTTTTCAGTTTTTTTAACTTTTATACTCAATGTTGGAAGCTGCAAGTCGAAAAATTGTCGAAATAAAAAATTGGAAAGCCGAAAAATAAAAAAAATGAAAATTAAAAAATCATGACAGCAAAAATTCGAAAAAACGCAGTCTATAATTTGAAAAATTTTAAAACTCAAAAAATTACAAATCAAAAAACCATATATTCGAAAATTGCGAAATAAAAATCGAAAAGATGAACATCAAAAAATTGAACATTTAAGAAAACTCTAAGGATTTAATTAAAAATTGGAGAAATGAAGAATTAATGTATCAAAAAGTTCAAAAATTAAGAACTCGAAAAACTGAAACAAAAAATCGAAAATTGCGAAATCGTAAAACCGAGGAAACCGAAAGTAAAAAAAAAATTTTAATTCGTTTTGTAAAGTCGAAATGTTCATACATTTTAAATTCAAAAATAGAAAAATTGCAATGAAAAACTGAAAAATCGAGAGACTCCAAAATGGAATAAGCAGCGAAAAATACAAAGTTGAAAAATCGAACAAATCAAAAATTAAAAATGAAAAAATTTGAAATTAAAAAATTAAATATT